GAAGTCCAGTATTCAGTGAGGTGATTGCGAGACAGTTAATGTAACATGACCAAGGGAACACCCATTGCTTATAGAGAAATTGTTCTAAGACAATTTGAGTAACGTAAGATACGTTTGGGTTAATTATTTTCCCAGGAACAGCTGTGTTGGTCTCTCAGGGAGCCTAGCCAAGCCAGACAAGAATTGTAAAGTTCCGGGAGGGCTGAATCTTGCATTTTTAGTATTGTCTGTTGAAATTATCTGTCAGTTGGACAGGTAATTAGTGCTACATAGCCTTCCCGGTTTGGTGCCTTCTATTGATAATTACTTACTTGACAGGTAATTAACGGGTTCCAGGAAGTCAAGGTAATTAACTTCGATCAGGGTTGATCGACTCACACGAAGGCTTCATTGTTTCATCAACGTAATGTCGGTTATTATTTATCTGTCAGTGGACAGGTAATTTGATTGACTCTTGGGAGAGTGACGTCATTGTAAAGTAACATAGACGTGGTGATTAGTTATCGGTTTATGGGATCGTGAACTAGTCACCTGAATCCGTCAGGGTATGGAAGGCGCCAGACGGAGTTCATACCATTGATGTTAGAATTGCTGAGCCAGTGTGAAAGGTGACGTATATTTGTATTAATTAATTATTGATCATCGGGATAGTAATTAATTTGTAACGTTCGATTATATTACGTTGTTGGATTGATTAGATACACAGTGTTTAGTGAGTTTCATATTTATTTAGTAGTCCTGGATACAGCAGTGTCGTAGACATTGAGACGAAGCCTGGAGCAGAGGAGAGAGCTGAATGAGGCCGGAGTCGTGGAGCTCTATGTGGGAGAGCGTGGCGGCTCGATTTAGAATTGTGAGTGTCTGAACTCGGGGAGCGAGAGCGTGGCGGCTCGATGCGGTCGTAGTCTGCTGTCTGCTCTGTGTCGAAGCTGTAGCGTCTTGGGTCGATTAGGACTGTACACGCCAAGTGCTACATTGTTGACTGTGGAAATTGAACTGTCTTCTATTCATCAAATCGTTGCTTATATGGTGATTACACCTCAGCTTCCTTCAACAAGGTGAGAAGAGTATTACCTGTAATTGGGGAAAGGATTGTAGCTTCTGTAATTAGTTATGTTATTAAAATAATGAGATAATGGAGCGAGTATAAGATTAACTCGCTACAAATTGCTCGAGGGTACTCAAGGGGATTGCCTTTCTCTTAGCACTTTGGACATTGAGATTGTAGTCGTAAACCCGACCTACCTTGTTGTTGTTGTTGCATTAGTGATTATAGATTAGTATGTCTTGTTTGCTTGATTGATTCCTCCGTGATCACTCAGTATGTTCAAGTTAGTTCATGTTGCAGCACTCGGGGCTGGGGTCGAGCTGTCAGTGAAGGTATCACAGGAATGATTTCGAGTAACGTCATTTGATATTTCTTTCATTGTTGTGGTAGTTAGTACTTCGTTGAATATACTGTGTTGTTATGTTGAACACCGTCTTTTCATTACACCCCACACATTTTATTGATTTACATATGTTGTGTTACTTTTGCTATTCATTTGAGACTGTGGGAAAAACCTGCTTGGATTGATATGTGAGGAGACTACCAGGGACTTGTACTGAACTAAATTAAAAATTACTGTCTGCAAATTAATTCAACTAAATGGTTCATGCCCGAAACGCTTTGCGTAATAGTGGCTTTAGGCATTGTATGTACTAGCTCTACCTATAAGTCAAACAATCCTTGTAAATATTTATTGTATGTATGTACCTTACCTAAATAAAATTGTTGTATTGTAAATCTCTAGCTAGGGTTGTAAATCCTAGCTCCTCTTTTCCTAATGACAGATTGTGGGCTGTAAGGGGCAGGTGGGGTGAATGAATTAGTTGATAGGTTGATTGAAGATCCACAGTCCACCTGCCAACAGGTATCTCACATCAGCTTGTATTTTATACAAGGATAAGATTTAATAAATTCAGTTATTTGACTGAACACTGGCTCTGTTTAAATCAGAGATTTAAACATGTACATAGTCTAGCCTAGCACTATAACTATTAACAGCCAATATTCTTATACTATAAACAACAATTTAAATTGTAAAAGTATAATAAATGACTCTAAATGTAGTCTAAGTACTGTTACTAAGTACAAGAAATTATATTCAATTAAATGAACTTATATAATAACTTAAAAAATAACTAAGCAAGCAATTGATAACTTAATTTATATATTCAAGTATATATGCAATGTACTTATATTCAATTTATATGATTAGGTACAGTCAGCCTGACTGAATCTCTTCCAACACCATGGACACTTATGAGGTCTTGTATATTTATTGCGACTGAATCTTTTCTCACAATGGACACTCATGAGGTCTAATGCTTGGATAAGATTCTACTGCTGCGTTACTATATTAATAAACTTACTGAGATATGAGGCGTTGCCTCACTTTATAACCGACAGACTTATAGAATATTAAAGTCACACAAGCATACAATTGGTCAATTATATACCAAAATAACCTCAATATACTTCTCTGCTTGCTGGGTGCCTGTCTGATAGTGTGCCAGACTTGATAACTCTCTTGTCGCAAGTTTAGGCACGATATTTTATATAACAGCTTTGCTGTAGATTGTTGTTGTAGTGTTGCTACATGGATTTTACTATAAATGCGTTGCAAAAAGATGAGGGTTGATGGTGAAGGTGGAGACAAGTCACTGTGTGCTCCGCTCTACACTTATAGATATAAATGTTCTAGGGATTTTTCTTGTAGATATATTGTCCAGGTACTCCCCCAGTTCTAGAGAGTATTCACTGGTGATAAAGATATTAGATAAGGTGTCCTGAGCCAAATAATGTTTGCTAAGGATCCGTCACTGTTCACTCAGTTGTAAACAAACGCGAAGTGCCGTGGGGTGTCTTGGGCACTTCTCTCCCGAGATGCTCCTCCCTCTCCCTTCAGAGGGGGGGTAGCTTTCAATGAATATTGATTGATTATTTTTACTGTCTAGACATATGATTGAGATAAGATGTGATTATAATATAATTAGATATAGGATTTAAAGATTATAAGTAGTACTTGATAGTACCACTGATTCTTATTAAGGATTCGATTTATAATCCCTACCGGAAGCGATTAATGTTCCAATAGTTTTTTAATTAACAAATCCTTCTAGAAGCTTCTGGATCCTTGAGAGATCATGCACAAAGTCACGTAGGCATCTATAAGGCCCTATTGATCCAAGTGGCATTGTCATCTAGGATCAAGATGTATAATGAATCTATAATGATTCTAATATGATTTTGATATGATTTTGATACGATTTGATATGATTTTGATATGATTTAGATATGATATAGATATGATATAGAAATTATACATTTCTTAGATGATAATTAGATATGGTGGGTAAAAATTTCCCACAGAGACGGCCTCTGAGAATTAGAGCTGAATTCATAGCACCACACAACATTAATTTTGTTGTGAGAGCCCAGGACCTACTTGTTAGATTCGCTCTGGCGAATGACGAAGGTCAACGGCCTAAGTGAAAGGGATTTCAAACTTTTGAGGTCTCAGCGTTTACTCGCGCCTAGTCAATTGTTCTTATATAGTCCCAGAGTGAGGAATGAGCTGCTTAGTGCGTTACCATCCCACTTAGCGTGTTAGCCAAGCAAGTCCTTCCTCAGGTGACCCATTCAGACTTTCAGTTAAAGTCGACGGATGTAATATTAGAATATCACGACAGGAATAAGGATAAAGAAATTAAAAATAATTTTTTGAAACCATCCAAAATTCAACTTCTTCACAGGTAGGCCTTAGTAACCCTTCAGAGGTTGGTAGGCCTTAGTAACCCTCCAGAGGTTGGTAGACTTTAACTCAAGCAGTAATATTGTAAGTAAGTAGGAAGGTAAAATCGTATCTAGAAGATAGAACATGTGCTGTTGGAGGTGATGCTCGGGGCTAGGCTACGTCAACGTTACAGGATTGATGGTTATTTTATCGGGCTTCTTATAAGGTGGTCGGGATCATCCCAGTCCCCCATGAAGTGGGGCACGGCCCCAATGCCCCTCATTCACGAAGTCTGTAGATGTGAAATGTTTATAGTCAAGTCAATAGACGTTAGCATTAGTTTCAATAATAGTAAATCAAGATATTGATTCTCAAACCATATATTTACTTTCTGGGTACAACCTTTTGGTTACATTGACGGGGTAAGGGTGTGTGTGTGGGCAGGGAGGGGGAGACGGGGGACTGGCATGTTTGGAGAGAGGAGACGGGGAGTGTATATTGGAGGGAAATAGAGTGTTCACGGGGGAATGTAGGGAGGGTGTGTGTTGGGTGACATGGGAAGAGTTGGTAGTTAGGAGAGGGGGGGGGGGGGGTGTAGATGGTAGACGATGTGTACAGAGATGAAAACGATGATTAATTACAGAGGATTGTTACAGTGATGGGGAAAGAGGGGAGGGTGTATGTGAAGAGAGAGAGGGGGGGGGGGGAAGATGGGCAGGGTGTGTGGGGACCCGGGCTCCGTGACACCCCGGCACCCATTTAGTATAACTATATACAGAACATAGACGCGCAACTCCATTAAATGACTGTATATATATATATATTAATGAAGATGACCATCGATGTTATAAGAATATATAAATACACTAAATTATTTATACAATGTATCTAATGACAACAAAATTTGAAGGTCATAATAATAAAATTATAAGGCAACATGTGCAATAAGGGTGGCAGGCAAGGCCTAATGTGCTAGGCCTAACCCTCGGGTTACTCTGGCTTAACCCCACAATTAATATTTCTGGGGTTGACCCCTGGCACCCCCAGATAACCCCTCCCCCCAAAAAAAATAGTTTGAAGGAAATATCTAAATTGTTGTATCGTTTGATTTATTGTAGATGGTTCACGGGTAGAGGTTGAGTGAAGAAATGAACTGTCCGCAGGAGAGTGAAAAAACCACATGGTAGGTAATAAAGAATAATAACAAATATCTTTGACTTTATTTATTTACAGACTTTCAAATTTAACATTATATATGTTCAGGTAATATTTCCCACAATGATACATGAGCTATATAACGGACAGGAATACATACATCTATGTCCTATATGCGAGTATACATTAAACTTCTGATGACAAAATCACCAATTAAAAATATCAGGCTATATTAATTTAAATATGGCTCCTCTAAAGCATATATTCTAAGGAGGTTTTTCTGAGTGTGTCCTCCAGCTGGGTCCAGGCGCGGGTGTCACGCCTACGATCTCCTGAAGACTAGATGGGAGGGCGGGACAGGAGCCCCTTTTCCTGGGGCCCGGTCAGGAGTACGAAGTAGCCGAGTACGAAGGAGAAGTAAGTGAGGGGGAAGAGTACTCTGGAGGCCTCGTCGATGGCTGTGTCGCCACTCCAGAACTCCGCCCAGGACTGCCGCCACCGCTGGAAGCGACGTGACGTCAGCTCCTGCGGGAGAAACAGGATATGAACATGTTAATAAGACAATATTGGGGCTGTGAAGTGGGGTCAAACCCGCATCTCTGGGCCATGATTCATTAATCATATACGCAACCGTTGACCTACTGACCTGGGTGAGGTGGGTGACCTACTGACCTGGGTGACGTGGGTGACCTGGGTGGAACCATTGGTGGACGTGGAGACGAGGCCGGGGGAGGGGGCGAGGGAGCGGCGGTAGTGGACATGGTAGACGATAGCGAACTCGAGGAGGGCAGCGAAGACGTACACCATGCACGTGATCATCCAGATGTCCAGCGACTTGATGTACGACACTGTCACCCACACGAGGGGGGGGGGGGGACACCCACACGTGAGTTAGTGACCCATAGCTTCTTAAGTGGCCGGCATAAATACCACTCTGGCAACCATATTGTGGCCGCCTGAGACTACCTTTGAACATTTAAACAAGTTTGTATAACATTGTCATTAATTCTACGTCGATTTCATGTTTTAATTGTACAAGAACAACAACAATCACCTCTGTAGTTGCATCCAGCTTGTGTATGTGTGATCTGTCGTGTTTCTAGAAATATAAACTCCTTCTGGCCATCTTTCTGTTCCTAGCTATCCATACGCAAAGTAAAAACTAAACTACTGACATCGTTTGAGGTCACACTGGTACCTAATAGGACGGTTGATGGTGACTTCAACAGTGTGGCTAATGGGGGTATAGGGACCTAATGGGTAGCCACTGGGTTGTGTCACTGTAACAAGGTCAGAACCCTGAGTTAGTCCGTAGTAAGATAGACTGGGGAGGAAGTGCCAAGCCAGGATGACTGTACAGCACTGGAAAGGGATATGACGACAAGGAGCTGAGAAATAAGGAAGGAGTGAAGGGGCCCAACCACTTGCACCTTCGGGGATCGAACGCCGACCCTGCAAGAAGCTAGGTAAGCATGACATATTACCTGGCTTTCACACACCTGCCCATGTCTCTCACACACCTGCTTATGTCTCACACACCTGCGCATGTCTCTCACACACCTGCCCATGTCTCACACACTTGCGCATGTCTCTCACACACCTGCCCATGTCTCACACACCTGCCCATGTCTCACACACCTGCCCATATCTCTCACACACCTGCACATACCTCTCACACACCTGCCCATACCTCTCACACACCTGACTGGAAGAACTGCGTCTCCCTCTCCCCCCCCCAAGGCCTAAGTTAGCATAAAAAATAAGTTAGTTGGGAGTTAATTAGCACAAGAGTTTGAGAGACTGAACATATATATTGTATATAAAGTAACGTAGGCACAATATGCCTAGTTTATCACAGTTATAATGTAGTAATTATTGGTGTTAATGTATTATATGTGAACACTCACAATCAGGAATCCCAAGTTCGGGAATCCCGATTCACGTAATTTTCTGTTTACACTGTGTTTCAGAGTGAACATAAGTATTAGGTGAAAGGATACGTGCCCAATCATTTCTGCCCCGTCGTTCTGAGGCCAGCGAGGGGGCCCGTGACCTACCTGGGGGGAGGTTCTTGGTGGACTGGGAGTACTGGGTGGCCATGGTCAGGATGGAGGTCACGCCCAGGGTCACGCGGGCTGCAACAACAACAACACATTGCTAACATGCATGTGTTGTCTTGGTTAACATCAGTCTTCCTGCTCATATGTACTGAGATATGTAAGGTAATAACACCAAATATTAACATTCAGTTTACATCAGCACAGGGCATTTGATTTACCCAACATTTACGTGTCTTACGAAACCTGTACATCTTTCTTTAAGCCTGGCCACTCGCTTTACAGTTACTAAGCCGCGTCCAGCTGCCACCACTTCTATGTCAATAACAGCAATAATAGTTTTCTATATCAATAATAAATTTGGGAGATGGTGATACTTATGAATATAGACTCGCCCGCCATGACTGAGCAAAGATGCACAGGTTTCGTAACTAAGGACATATAAATGCTTGATGACCTCCCTGGCTGAGACAACCACATGCCCCCGCCTCCAGGAATGGTTGGGGTGGTAGTTAGTGCACATGGTAACAGCTAGTATGGTTGTGGATATTCCCATGGGGGGGGGGGGGGGTGGAGGGTGTTGTTATAGACCATCCTTCTTAAACTGTTAAAGAAAGTTGACCCTTGTAATGGTCGGGGTGTTGATCTGGGCTGTGTTGGGGGGTGTTGACCTGGGCTACAGCTATAACCATTTTCAGCCTTCACACCAGTGTCCAAGCGGTGTTGGGCCTCAATATGTATGACGGATGATGTATAGCCAATCACAGAGGCGAGTAGGCCCATGACGTCATCCCACAGAGCTGGCAGTGGCCGCTCTGAACTAGGTCGGCAGTTATCTCAGACCTTAGACAAGGGTAGGACCTCGTGACCTCGGTGTGCTTGTTCTATACATTATTGCCTTTCTCAATAAAACCCTTGAAACAATGACAGTGTGTATCACTTCATCAACCAAGCAGCACCGAACTACAAGGTAACGAATACTGGTGGCAGCGGTGGGATGTCGTGTGTACCCAGCGACTAAAGCTCCTTGGGAACAAGGATCAATGGATTTGTTGATAAATTTTGCAGAAACAGAAAAAGGGAACAAACACTTGCTTTCAATGATTGACAATTTTTCATGGTATTGCAAACTAGTGCTTATCCCGAACAAAACAGTGGAAACTATAGCTAGTGCATTCCATGACCAAATAATATGTAGATATAGTGGGCCTAAAGTAATTCTCTCAGACAATGGTCCAGAGTTCAGTAATAGTATCTTAACTAGTTTGTATGATTTATATAACATTTAAAATGTAGTATTTTGCCATACCACCCAGCAAGTAATGGGTTAGCAGAGCATACTAACAGGAGAGTGTTAGATGCCTTGAGAGTTACGTTGAATTTTGATAACAGTAATTGGGATGAGTTCATACCCTTAATTCAGTGTGGCATAAATTCTTCAATTAATGTTTCTACAGGAGACACTCCTCATGCTATTCTTTATGATACAGATAAGATCCTCCATAATGAATTGATCAATGTACCTCCGACTCCTTTGTATAACCTAGATGATTTTGTTCAGGTAAAGCGTAGAGAAATGCAACTAGTTTTCAAGAAAATATGAGAACACTTGTCCAAGGCAACAGCAGAGTTTACTCGAGCAAGGAATGCACGAGCTAAGCCCAGTGAGATAACTGTCAGATCTGCAGTAATGGTACTTAACCAACACAGGTCTGGCCCTATGGACAAACTAACTAAGAAATTTTTGGGTCCATATAAGGTAATTGAACTTATCAAGGGTAACAAGTACAAACTTAAGAATTTGTTGACAGGAGAGTATATAAATGAACATTTAGACAACATGAAGCTAGCTAAAATGACTGTTGACGAGACTGATGCGGAAGATGACAATGATCTTACCCCAGACAGATTCTTCTATTGGGACACCACCTTCTGTGGTTGACAGACCACGTGATGAACAGCCACCCCATACTAGCACTTCTAACTTAGATCTAAACCTTTTGTTTCAACTGCGCACTCACCACACATCCATTAGGTAGATGTTAACAAGATTAACTTCCCAGAGGAGAGTTTGACACATGCAATTTCACCTGTTCCTGCCCTTCAGTCAGAGCCAGAGTTGTATAGTGCTCCTGATGAACTAGGTGTTCACATTCGCAGAATTTATAATTAAGTGCATTCCACAGTTATTATTCTGTTTTTGTTTGGCCAAACCAGAGAACAATAGTCTCCTGGAATATTTCTTACTTACCTCCCAGTATTTCTACCCCCATGTGTCCTATTATTACTGTATAATGCGATGAATAAAGGTTTTTAAACTTTGTTTCGTGTCCTGACCATATGCCATTGTTAAGTCAACTGTGTCATTTGTAGTTTTACAGTGCATGTAATCAAGATTTCCATTAATGTTCTAACAACCACACTGAGGCCAGTGACTCCTGACTGCCATCAATAAGATGTTAGCCTTCTCGATCCTGTCCTTGTAAATATCTTGTATATATTGTACATTAATTTTTTATTGTCCCTGTTATCTAATCATAAATTTCATTGTGGTTGTTGTCATAATTTGTGTTCTATTAAAGCAGATAATTGTCTTTAATATTTTTTCCAACTATGTCATTAACACAAGATGTTGATAATTTTGTTTTAGGCAAAACTTTGAGTTGTATTGTTCATATTTGATCCTTAGACATGTTTATGTTCTTTATGTTATTGTTCTGAGTACCATGATTTTTTTTACCATGATTTTTCCCTGAGCAAATTATGTTCTAATTTTTGTGTACATGTTGAGCAGTGTTAGTACTAATGCACACTTGATCCACCTTTAATGTTTAATCTGGAACTTTGTATGTAAGCTGTTATTGTATGCCACCGAGATTCTTTCAGTATGAATGTGTAATATAGCTAACCAGAGTTGTCGACAAGGGACATCGACTTGGTAGCGAGTCCGAGCGGTGAGCATCCCTCTATTTGTATGACGGATGGTGTATAGCCAATCACAGAGGCGAGTAGGCCCATGACGTCATCCCACAGAGCAGACAGTGGCCGCTCTGAACTAGGCCGGCAGTTATCTCAGACCTGAGACAAGGTTAGGACCTCGTGACCTCGGTGTGCTGGTTATATACATTATTGCCTTTCTCAATAAAACCCTTGAAACAACGACAGTGTGTATCACTTCATCAACCAAGCAAGCACCGCACTACAAGGTAATATGTTTACAAACAACTAGAAAGGGTACCCAGCGTTACCCGGGTCGACATGTCTCTCTCTCTCTCTCTCTTACAATAATTACTAATCTGTTGCAGTAACAGAGTGTGTCTGTCTGTCTGTCCAAGGCTGGAGGTCAGATGCTTGAGGCTAACCTCACGCACCTTTGCAGGAGGAATGGTTTAGGGTATGCGACAGACATAGGCTGGTCGGGGTCGCCAGAATTCAATACAGAACAGAGTGCCAGGGGTAACATTCTGACTCCTACAACACTTTTTGACACTGCTTGCCCGCTGCACCCAGCTAACTCCTGTGGTAGACGAGACACATATTAACATATTAGTGGACGCTCACTCCTACACATGGGTCAACACCACCCGACCTGTACAAGGCTTAACTCTTTATAACAGTTTAACTGGGATGATCTATTACAATGGTGTGGATAACGTGAGTAGATGAGGTGCATGATGGAGTAGATGAGGTAGATGATGGAGTAGATGATGTAGTTGTGGTGGATGGTGGAGTGGATGAGGTGGATGATGGAGTGGATGAAACAGTAGATGAAGAAGCGACTCATCAACTGGCACCAGACCTGTGCCAGGAATGAACCAGATAAATCAAGCATTTACACAACCACTCACAAAACCTGTACATCTTTCCTCAATCAAAGTGACTTTGTTTACATTAACTAAACAGTTTACAATATCCAGGACAATATGAGGTCCATTATAACAATAATAACCCCGAGTTCTCAAATTCCCAACCCAGTAAACCCTATAATAAATGTAAACAGCCGTCATGATAAAGTAAAGATGTAGAGGCTTCATAAATACGCGTAAATGCCTTCCGAATCCCCGTAGGTAGAGTACCTAGAGAAGGGTAAACTGAGGTGCGGGACGCGGTCTACCTGTGGATGTACCTGGCGTGGCGTCGGGAGCAATCCAGAAGGACATCCAGGAGAGGATGACGATGAGGGCGGTGGGCACGTAGGTGTGGAGGATGTGGAAGTCTGGGTGACGGACCAGCACGAACACCGCCTTCACACACGGGAAGTCTCCTGTGGGAGGGACTGGCTGGTCAGGCGGCTTGTACCTCACACATCCTTACTCTCTCACAGTCTCTCATTATCCTCACAGTTTATATAATGGTGAGTCCTGGCGTGTGTGTGAGTGTGTGTGAGAGAGAGAGAGAGAGAGAGAGAGAGAGAGAGAGAGAGAGAGAGAGAGAGAGAGAGAGAGAGAGAGAGAGAGAGAGAGAGAGAGAGAGAGAGAGAGTGTGAGAGTGTGAGAGTGTGAGAGTGTGAGAGTGTGAGAGTGTGTGTGTGTGTGTGTGTGTGTGTGTGTGTGTGTGTGTGTGTGTGTGTGTGTGTGTGTGAGACAGACAGAGAGACAAAGAGACAACTTAGGATAATTGTGTGAGGGAGAGTAAGTGTAAGGCTGCTGAGGTTGTGTGAGGGAGTGTTAGTCTGCTGGGATTGTGTGAGGGAGAGTCTTTATCTATCCTATCAATTCCCTTCAGGATCTTGAATGTGGTGATCATGTCCCCCCTAACTCTTCTGTCTTCCAGCGAAGTGAGGTTTAATTCCCGTAGTCTCTCCTCGTAGCTCATACCTCTCAGCTCGGGTACTAGTCTGGTGGCAAACCTTTGAACCTTTTCCAGTTTAGTCTTATGCTTGACTAGATATGGACTCCATGCTGGGGCTGCATACTCCAGGATTGGCCTGACATATGTGGTATACAAAGTTCTGAATGATTCTTTACACAAGTTTCTGAATGCCGTTCATATGTTGGCCAGCCTGGCATATGCCGCTGATGTTATCCGCTTGATATGTGCTGCAGGAGACAGGTCTGGCGTGATATCAACCCCCAAGTCTTTTTCTTTCTCTGACTCCTGAAGAATTTCCTCTCCCAGATGATACCTTGTATCTGGCCTCCTGCTCCCTACACCTATCTTCATTACATTACATTTGGTTGGGTTAAACTCTAACAACCATTTGTTCGACCATTCCTTCAGCTTGTCTAGGTCTTCCTGAAGCCTCAAACAGTCCTCTTCTGTTTTAATCCTTTTCATAATTTTAGCATCGTCCGCAAACATTGAGAGAAATGAATCGATACCCTCTGGGAGATCATTTACATATATCAGAAACAAGATAGGACCGAGTACAGAGCCCTGTGGGACTCCACTGGTGACTTCACGCCAATCGGAGGTCTCACCCCTCACCGTAACTCTCTGCTTCCTATTGCTTAGATACTCCCTTATCCACTGGAGCACCTTACCAGCTACACCTGCCTGTCTCTCCAGCTTATGTACCAGCCTCTTATGCGGTACTGTGTCAAAGGCTTTCCGACAATCCAAGAAAATGCAGGGAGGGAGGGAGAGGTTTGTGAGGGAGAGTAAGTGTAATTCTGCTGGGGTTGTGTGAGGGAGAGTAAGTGTAAGTCTGCTGAGCTTGTGTGAGGGAGAGTAAGTGTAAGTCTGCTGGGGTTGTGTGAGGGAGAGTAAGTGTAAGTCTGCTGAGGTTGTGTGAGGGAGAGTAAGTGTAAGTCTGCTGAGGTTGTGTGAGGGAGAGTAAGTCTGCTGGGGTTGTGTGAGGGAGAGTAAGTGTAAGTCTGCTGGGGTTGTGTGAGGGAGAGTAAGTGTAAGTCTGCTGAGGTTGTGTGAGGGAGAGTAAGTCTGCTGGGGTTGTGTGAGGGAGAGTAAGTGTAAGTCTGCTGGGGTTGTGTGAGGGAGAGTAAGTGTAAGTCTGCTGAGGTTGTGTGAGGGAGAGTAAGTTTGCTGGGGTTGTGTGAGGGAGTGTAAGTCTGCTGGGGTTGTGTGAGGGAGTGTAAGTCTGCTGGGGTTGTGTGAGGGAGTGTAAGTCTGCTGGGGTTGTGTGAGGGAGAGTAAATGTAAGTCTGCTGGGGTTGTGTGAGGGAGTGTAAGTCTGCTGGGGTTGTGTGAGGAAGTGTAAGTCTGCTAAGGTTGTGTGAGGGAGTGTAAGTCTGCTGGGGTTGTGTGAGAGAGTGTAAGTGTAAGTCTGCTGGGGTTGTGTGAGGGAGAGTAAGTGTAAGTCTGCTGGGGTTGTGTGAGGGAGTGTAAGTCTGCTGGGGTTGTGTGAGGGAGTGTAAGTCTGCTGGGATTGTGTGAGGGAGTGTAAGTCTGCTGGGATTGTGTGAGGGAAAGTAAGTGTAAGTCTGCTGGGGTTGTGTGAGGGAGAGTAAGTGTAAGTCTGCTGAGGTTGTGTGAGGGAGAGTAAGTGTAAGTCTGCTGGGGTTGTGTGAGGGAGTGTAAGTCTGCTGAGGTTGTGTGAGGGAGTGTAAGTCTGCTGGGGTTGTGTGAGGGAGTGTAAGTCTGCTGGGGTTGTGTGAGGGAGTGTAAATCTGCTGGGGTTGTGTGAGGGAGAGTAAGTGTAAGTCTGCTGGGGTTGTGTGAGGGAGTGTAAGTCTGCTGAGGTTGTGTGAGGGAGTGTAAGTCTGCTGAGGTTGTGTGAGGTAGTGTAAGTCTGCTGGGGTTGTGTGAGGGAGTGTAAGTCTGCTGTGGTTGTGTGAGGGAGTGTAAGTCTGCTGGGGTTGTGTGAGGGAGAGTAAGTGTAAGTCTGCTGGGGTTGTGTGAGGGAGTGTAAGTCTGCTGAGATTGTGTGAGGGAGTGTAAGTCTGCTGGGGTTGTGTGAGGGAGAGTAAGTCTGCTGGGGTTGTGTGAGAGAGTGTAAGTGTAAGTCTGCTGGGGTTGTGTGAGGGAGAGTAAGTCTGCTGGGGTTGTGTGAGAGAGTGTAAGTGTAAGTCTGCTGGGGTTGTGTGAGGGAGTGTAAGTGTTAGTCTGCTGAGGTTGTGGGAGGGAGAGTAAGTGTTAGTCTGCTGAGGTTGTGGGAGGGAGAGTAAGTCTGCTGAGGTTGTGTGAGGGAGAGTAAGTCTGCTGAGGTTGTGGGAGGGAGAGTAAGTCTGCTGAGGTTGTGTGAGGGAGAGTAAGTCTGCTGAGGTTGTGGGAGGGAGAGTAAGTCTGCTGAGGTTGTGGGAGGGAGAGTAAGTCTGCTGAGGTTGTGTGAGGGAGAGCAAGTCTGCTGAGGTTGTGTGAGGGAGAGTAAGTCTGCTGAGGTTGTGGGAGGGAGAGTAAGTCTGCTGAGGTTGTGGGAGGGAGAGTAAGTCTGCTGAGGTTGTGGGAGGGAGAGTAAGTCTGCTGAGGTTGTGTGAGGGAGAGCAAGTCTGCTGAGGTTGTGTGAGGGAGAGTAAGTCTGCTGAGGTTGTGGGAGGAAGAGTAAGTCTGCTGAGGTTGTGGGAGGGAGAGTAAGTCTGCTGAGGTTGTGGGAGGGAGAGTAAGTCTGCTGAGGTTGTGTGAGGGAGAGCAAGTCTGCTGAGGTTGTGTGAGGGAGAGTAAGTCTGCTGAGGTTGTGGGAGGGAGAGTAAGTCTGCTGAGGTTGTGGGAGGGAGAGTAAGTCTGCTGAGGTTGTGGGAGGGAGAGTAAGTCTGCTGAGGTTGTGTGAGGGAGAGCAAGTCTGCTGAGGTTGTGTGAGGGAGAGTAAGTCTGCTGAGGTTGTGGGAGGGAGAGTAAGTCTGCTGAGGTTGTGGGAGGGAGAGTAAGTCTGCTGAGGTTGTGTGAGGGAGAGCAAGTCTGCTGAGGTTGTGTGAGGGAGAGTAAGTCTGCTGATGTTGTGGGAGGGAGAGTAAGTCTGCTGAGGTTGTGGGAGGGAGAGTAAGTCTGCTGAGGTTGTGTGAGGGAGAGCAAGTCTGCTGAGGTTGTGTGAGGGAGAGTAAGTCTGCTGAGGTTGTGTGAGGGACAGTAAGTCTGCTGAGGTTGTGTGAGGGAGAGCAAGTCTGCTGAGGTTGTGTGAGGGAGAGTAAGTCTGCTGAGGTTGTGTGAGGGAGAGTAAGTCTGCTGAGGTAGACATTACTGATCAAGAATTAACCATAAACATTGTTCACAAAATTGACCAAATGATGACCAGGTTGTAAGGAGAGGAAAATAAAGCAGAGGAGTAGAGAAGGCTCATGTGTTATGTGGTAACATCAACATATGAGGTGTTGAATGTTATGAGGTATAATACCTTTATGAACTCTTCAAACATTCGAAAACAATACACAACAATACAAGACATTTATGAACGTCCGTTGTTTTAATAATGCATATATACTAATTTCAAAAGCGTACATGACATTTAAAGAAAATTACATATTTCTTTTTTAAAATTTAGAAACAGAAGTATTTAGTAATAATATATATATATGTAGTTATTAATAATTCAAGTTCACAACAACAGCAAAACACAGGTTGACATATAGGCTGAGAAGAGGGTAGGAAAAGTGGTCACCTGGGATGAATAGGGGAGTTCTTAGTTCATCTTATATACAGGGCGGGAGACAGACAATTTTTGATGACCTTAGGGAGAAGGGTCGAAGTCCATAAGTCCCTAAGTCGAAGGGAGACGTTTGGTCGGTCGAACACCTGCCAGCGGTGTGTGTGTGTGTGTGTGTGTGTGTGTGTGTGTGTGTGTGTGTGTGTGTGTGTGTGTGTGTGTGTGTGTGTGTGTGTGTGTGTGTGTGTGTGTTCGTGCTTACGTTCATAGCCTCGCGTCACAGAAAACGGGAAGTGTGCGCGTGTGAATGTATGGGGCCCGCCATCTGGTGTCAAGAAGTAGAGGTTCAGTGTCCATCATTGTAGAGCGTGCGTGAGGGGTAGTGATGTACCAGAGCTGTTGGTGGTGGCGACGAAGAGCAGTGACCAGCTGGCGTGGTGCAACACCGGCCTCCTGCACCGGTGATCTGGCCACCAGCTGTGTGGGCGTCCAGGGTGGTTGTGGGCGTGTTAACTGTCGGCTCTGTGAGTGACAGCTCTTAACCTTCCAAGCTCAGAGAGTGACAGCTCTTAACTTTCCGAGCTCTGTGAGTGACAGCTCTTAACCTTCCGAGCTCAGAGAGTGACAGCTCTTAACCTTCCGAGCTCAGAGAGTGACAGCTCTTAACCTTCCAAGCTCAGAGAGTGACAGCTCTTAACCTTCCGAGCTCAGAGAGTGACAGCTCTTAACCTTCCAAGCTCAGAGAGTGACAGCTCTTAACCTTTCGAGCTCAGAGAGTGACAGCTCTTAACCTTCCAAGCTCAGAGAGTGACAGCTCTTAACCTTCCGAGCTCAGAGAGTGACAGCTCTTAACCTTCCAAGCTCTGTGAGTGACAGCTCTTAACCTTCCGAGCTCTGTGAGTGACAGCTCTTAACCTTCCAAGCTCTGTGAGTGACAGCTCTTAACCTTCCGAGCTCAGAGAGTGACAGCTCTTAACCTTCCAAGCTCAGAGAGTGACAGCTCTTAACCTTCCGAGCTCAGAGAGTGACAGCTCTTAACCTTCCAAGCTCTGTGAGTGACAGCTCTTAACCTTCCGAGCTCAGAGAGTGACAGCTCTTAACCTTCCGAGCTCTGTGAGTGACAGCTCTTAACCTTCCGAGCTCAGAGAGTGACAGCTCTTAACCTTCCGAGCTCTGTGAGTGACAGCTCTTAACCTTCCGAGCTCAGAGAGTGACAGCTCTTAACCTTCCGAGCTCTGTGAGTGACAGCTCTTAACCTTCCGAGCTCAGAGAGTGACAGCTCTTAACCTTCCGAGCTCTGTGAGTGACAGCTCTTAACCTTCCGAGCTCAGAGAGTGACAGCTCTTAACCTTCCGAGCTCTGTGAGTGACAGCTCTTAACCTTCCGAGCTCTGTGAGTGACAGCTCTTAACCTTCCGAGCTCAGAGAGTGACAGCTCTTAACCTTCCAAGCTCTGTGAGTGACAGCTCTTAACCTTCCGAGCTCAGAGAGTGACAGCTCTTAACCTTCCAAGCTCAGAGAGTGACAGCTCTTAACCTTCCGAGCTCAGAGAGTGACAGCTCTTAACCTTCCAAGCTCAGAGAGTGACAGCTCTTAACCTTCCGAGCTCAGAGAGTGACAGCTCTTAACCTTCCAAGCTCAGAGAGTGACAGCTCTTAACCTTCCGAGCTCAGAGAGTGACAGCTCTTAACCTTCCAAGCTCTGTGAGTGACAGCTCTTAACCTTCCGAGCTCTGTGAGTGACAGCTCTTAACCTTCCAAGCTCTGTGAGTGACAGCTCTTAACCTTCCGAGCTCAGAGAGTGACAGCTCTTAACCTTCCAAGCTCAGAGAGTGACAGCTCTTAACCTTCCGAGCTCAGAGAGTGACAGCTCTTAACCTTCCAAGCTCTGTGAGTGACAGCTCTTAACCTTCCGAGCTCAGAGAGTGACAGCTCTTAACCTTCCGAGCTCTGTGAGTGACAGCTCTTAACCTTCCGAGCTCAGAGAGTGACAGCTCTTAACCTTCCGAGCTCTGTGAGTGACTCTGTGAGTGACAGCTCTTAACCTTCCGAGCTCAGAGAGTGACAGCTCTTAACCTTCCGAGCTCTGTGAGTGACAGCTCTTAACCTTCCAAGCTCAGAGAGTGACAGCTCTTAACTTTCCGAGCTCTGTGAGTGACAGCTCTTAACCTTCCGAGCTCAGAGAGTGACAGCTCTTAACCTTCCGAGCTCAGAGAGTGACAGCTCTTAACCTTCCGAGCTCAGAGAGTGACAGCTCTTAACCTTCCGAGCTCTGTGAGTGACAGCTCTTAACCATCCGAGTGTGGGGCCACTAGTGAGTGACCAACCACGCAGGTGTGGACAATATAACACACATGAGAGAGGTTGTTACCGTGTCTCACAGGTGTTGGGAGAGATTGTTTACCACGGTGGTCTTAGTGACACGTAAGTGCTGTAGTTAGTGCTTAGTTAACTACCCGTAAGTGGTGTAGTTAGTGGTTAGTTAACTACACATAAGTGCTGTAGTTAGTGCTTAGTTAACTACCCGTAAGTGGTGTAGTTAGTGGTTAGTTAACTACCCGTAAGTGGTGTAGTTAGTGGTTAGTTAACTACACATAAGTGGTGTAGTTAGTGGTTAGTTAACTACCCGTAAGTGGTGTAGTTAGTAGTTAGTGGTTAGTTAACTACCCGTAAGTGGTGTAGTTAGTGGTTAGTTAACTACCCGTAAGTGGTGTAGTTAGTGCTTAGTTAACTACCCGTAAGTGGTGTAGTTAGTGGTTAGTTAACTACACATAAGTGCTGTAGTTAGTGGTTAGTTAACTACACATAAGTGCTGTAGTTAGTGGTTAGTTAACTACCCGTAAGTGCTGTAGTTAGTCTCTGTGACAAGTTTATATCATTATTATAGTGTTGTTACCCCATTGTGTTGTGGTGTCAAGTGACACCTGCTTACTGTGTCGTAAGCAATAATTAGTGTGGTTAATTATTATAGTGTTAATTATCATTGCTTGTTAGCTGTCCGTGTGGGGCAGTGTGAGTTAATGTAACTAACTGATTATTAACTGTCTGAATGACAGTGATTAACGTAATTGTGGTAAATTGAGTGTCATTGATTGTTGACTGTTTGAGTCAGACAGTTAACGTAAATTGATTGTGTGTCAATTAATTCATTGTGATTTAATGTCTTGGTGACATTGTTAAAGTAATTACTTGTTGTTGTTGTTGTTCTGAGTGTGTTGGTGAGTGTTCTTTGTGTTAGTTCATGTGTTGTGTTGTTGTGTTGTGGTGCTGCCAGTGGCGACGAGTGCAGTAATGGCCAAGAGTGTTCACGAAGTGATCAGTTAGTTCACTTTTGTTCATGACCTGTCTGGTGGGTCGAGACTATTGTGCTCTGTAACACCTGTGAGAGTGGCGGGAAGGGAGTCCTGCTGCGGCCAGCGGGTGTTGTCACAGTTGTTGAGGTCACACTCTTCACTAACGTAACTAATGTGTGTCACTGTGTATTAGTAATTAACTTGTTGAATACATTTATCTTGTTACACACGTGCCTTTGGTGCTATTCTTACATCAGCAGTACTGATCCCCATATTTCATCACCTGCGACTTGACGTTGTCAGTAATTTCAGTTGCCTCAGGATCCAGAGCCTTAAATACTGAATATAACATTCGGCGTGAGCCCGCCAAACACACACCGAAACTACGACGTTGGTACAACGTTCGAACACGTTTTAACACCTCCTAACCAGTTGTAACAACCAATATAGTAAGTTGTAACAACGTTCTAATACGTCATAAACACGTTAAGCCAAGATGTAACAACTTTATTACAAGTTGTAACAAGCGGAAAATAGAGACAGTTTCGGTTTGTGTTTCCAGGGAACCCATCCGCTACCTGCATTATTTGCTTGCAGGAAAGTTGCAGAGAGAACTAGCCAAGTGTGAGAGGTCGAGTATTGCTGGTGCAGTAAAACACCATCCTGGCCTTCCGCTCCACCTGGGATACCTGCACCTGGCCTTCCGCTCCACCTGGGATACCTGCACCTGGCCTTCCGCTCCACCTGGGATACCTGCACCTGGCCTTCCGCTCCACCTGGGATACCTGCACCTGGCCTTCCGCTCCACCTGGGATACCTGCACCTGGCCTTCCGCTCCACCTGGGATACCTGCACCTGGCCTTCCGCTCCACCTGGGATACCTGCACCTGGCCTTCCGCTCCACCTGGGATACCTGCACCTGGCCTTCCGCTCCACCTGGGATGGGATATACCTGCACCTGGCCTTCCGCTCCACCTGGGATACCTGCACCTGGCCTTCCGCTCCACCTGGGATACCTGCACCTGGCCTTCCGCTCCACCTGGGATACCTGCACCTGGCCTTCCGCTCCACCTGGGATACCTGCACCTTGGCGCCCTGCGCACGCCTCACCAGTGTATTCATTTGTTTGTTGAAGGTAAACATTCGAATTCACATCCCAATAACCAGTAAAATCTTATATTGTGGCGCCCAGCGCGGTGCTAGACTTGTGGGGACAAATTGGTCACTTAACATCTGGCGCCCAAAGTGGGGCTAGGGAGGGTATAGGGAAAAAGGGAACATTTCACAATATATATGACCATGTGACATGAGTGCCCATGTGACACGGGTGCACATGTGACACGGGTGCCCATGTGACACGGGTGCCCATGTGACACGGGTGACCATGTGACACGGGTGACCATGTGACACGGGTGCCCATGTGACACGGGTGCCCATGTGACACGGGTGACCATGTGACACGGGTGCCCATGTGACACGGGTGCCCATGTGACACGGGTGCCCATGTGACACGGGTGCCCATGTGACACGGGTGACCATGTGACACGGGTGCCCATGTGACACGGGTGCCCATGTGACACGGGTGACCATGTGACACGGGTGCCCATGTGACACGGGTGACCATGTGACACGGGTGCCCATGTGACACGGGTGCCCATGTGACACGGGTAACCATGTGACACGGGTGCCCATGTGACACGGGTGCCCATGTGACACGGGTGACCATGTGACACGAGTGCCCATGTGACACGGGTGACCATGTGACACGGGTGCCCATGTGACACGGGTGCCCATGTGACACGGGTGACCATGTGACACGGGTGCCCATGTGACACGGGTGCCCATGTGACACGGGTGCCCATGTGACACGGGTGCCCATGTGACACGGGTGCACATGTGACACGGGTGCACATGTGACACGGGTGCCCATGTGACACGGGTGCCCATGTGACACGGGTGCCCATGTGACACGGGTGCCCATGTGACACGGGTGCCCATGTGTCACGGGTGCCCATGTGACACGAGTGCTTTTGTGACACAGGTGCCCATGTGACATGGGTAACCATGTGACACGGGTGACCATGTGACACGGGTGCCCATGTGACACGAGTGCTTTTGTGACACAGGTGCCCATGTGACACGGGTGCCCATGTGACACGGGTGCCCATGTGACACAGGTGCCCATGTGACACGGGTGCCCATGTGTCACGGGTGCCCATGTGACACGAGTGCCCATGTGACACGGGAAGCTACATGACACAGAAGGGTGTACGTAAAGAAACTCACCATTGCAGACTTGGTGTTCATATTTAGCGAGGGTGAAGTGTGGGAGAGAGAAGATCTCCTGGTCCAGCTTGCTGCTGGCGTGGGCCCAGTTCTCGCACCACTCAAACCTCACCACCTCCGTCTTGTACGACACTGAGAGAGAGAGAGAGAGAGAGAGAGAGAGAGAGAGAGAGAGAGAGAGAGAGAGAGAGAGAGAGAGAGAGAGAGAGAGAGAGAGAGAGAGAGAGAGAGAGAGAGAGAGGGAGAAGACAGTAGAAGAGAGAGAATTAAATATGGGAAGTGGGTGAAAGAGAATAAAGGTAAGATTAAAAACATAGAAAAGATAGAAAGATAAGCGTGGGAGAAAAAGAAGAAGAGTTATCAACATGTCTCTCAAAATGTGAAGCAATTCTCTACTACATCCATCACGTTTTTCCACACATGAACTAACCTTTATATTGACTTATTATTTAATATATATAAAATTACTTGGAACTCTTTAGACATTAACACTGGTGTAGTGGTTACAGTACTCTGTACGCCAGGGGGTGATGCCAGGCACCGGGGGTCGAATCCCTGTCGTGTCAAAAAAAAAGAGTTCCTAGTGATTAATGGCTTTCTTGTTTATGTATCCGGTGTGTGTCTCTCTCTCTCACACACACACACACACACACACACACACACACACACACACACACACACTTGTCAGACTTGTCTTGTGACCATCGTGTTGGTTGGACGTGGGTTGGGAGCTCCTGGTTCACTAGTGGAGTGGGAGGGGTAATCAGGCAACTTCGAAGTGAAAAAGACTATAAGTGAATGTACAAGTGAATGAAAAAACCTTGGGTTTTGACCAGAGCCATAAGGTAGTGAAGAAAAACAGTTTAATTAGCGTAATTCAAAATAGTTGAGGAAATACTGTGCAGTGTGAAACCAGACCTCACCGACCTCTGACCGCGTGACCTCACCTCGGCAGCAACCCTTATACCACCACGTGGGACGACGATTGGAGATTCACTCACCTATTGTGTTAGCAGATTGTGCAAGGTATTGAGGAGCGCCTTTTTGGCTAGATTGTTACTGCAATGACTAGAAGGGGTTCAAGGTCAATCACCAGCAGGGATGAGGAGGAGGACAGATTTATAGACAAATTAATAGGGAAATTTGTAGAGAGAAGGAGTGATTGGTTGGAGGATCTAATCCAGGGGATTAAAAGTGAGGTATTTCAGCAAATACAGGATGCGGTAGAGAGGCAGAAACAAGAACTTATGCTCTATGTTCAGGAAGAGATTAGGAAGGGAAGAGAGGACTGGGAGAGGGAATGTGCTCGTATCACAAACGAATTAGGAAGGTTTAGCAGCATGGCTAAGGATAGAGGATTAGTGGGAGATGGGTTAGTGACTGCGGTTGGGATGGGGAATCCCCAGGGGACAGGCTACCAGCATGACAATGAATTACTGAGGAGACGGTCTATTATAATACATGGATTATTCGAATCTAGGGCACCAACAAGACAAGAGAGAATAGAAACAGAAAAATACGAATTGCACGAGATATTGAGGTGTATTGGAGCAGAGATGGCAGAACGCGAGGTGGATATCAATCGACGGGTTGGACCTTACAATTGTACCAAGAATAGACCTGTTCTGGTGCAATTCTCCAATGAGGAGGCAGTGGAGTACATAATGAGGAGCAAGCATTTACTCAGAGGAAGTGAAACCCATTACAATGTGTTTATAGAGAGGTTTATGACGAAAGATGAGCAAACAGCCCACAAAAATAGGTGGCAACAACGACAACGTACTAGCCTCTCAGGTAGTCTCACCTCCCAGGTCACATCCCAGGTCACCTCCCAGGTCACCTCCCAGGTCACCTCCCAGGTCGCATCCTCCCCAACTCAGCCCTCCTATACATCCCCCCCTGCCTCAGCCTCCCAAAACCCCCCTGTCCCTTCCACATTTGCACCTCCACAACGATTCCCCTGCCCCTGCTACATCACACTTGTCAGCGACCCCAGTGGGTCAAGCCATGCCCTCCCCAAACCCACCTTCCCATCCCCCCTCCCCAAATACCCCTTCCCACTCCCCTGCCCCTTCTACCCCATTGACTTCAATTCCATCTACTCCATCCCAGCTTCCACTGCACCCCTCTTCCACTCACCCCCAAACCCCACCCAACCCTCACCCCTCCTATGCACCTCCAGCCCACATTTAACCCCCTCACCTTGTGACCCCCTAACACCTTCCCCCATCTCCCTCTTCCCCTCTTCTACCCCAAAACCCCCACCTACCCCCGATTCCCCCCTAACTAATATACCCTCTCTTCCACTCCCAGCACCCATGCTCCATTCTCATCTCAGCTCTCCGCCCTCAGTATCCCTCTTCCCCCCAACCTCTCAACCTCTATCTGACTCTCAGTCCCACTCTATTTCTCAACCCCCCTATGCTATTCAGACCCCTAACTTTCAGACCCATTATGCCCTTCCTACCCCCCTAGATGCCCAGACCCCATTCGCCTACCAGGCACTCCCAGGCACCCCCCTAGCACCCCCCCACTCACCCCCACAGCCCCCACTTGCCCCCCAGACACCCCCCAGTTCCCCCCAGACCCCTGGTGAAAGGGGGAACTCTGACACCCGAGTTTCCAAGAAGAGTCTCAAGGTTTGGTACACCAATGCTGATGGGGTAGCCAATAAAGCAGAAGAGATAAAAGAAAGAGTTAGTGAGGCAGACCCAGACATAGTGGCAATAGTGGAAACTAAAATAAATGGCATGATCTCGGATGCAATCTTTCCAGAGGGGTACCAGGTGATAAGAAAAGAAAGGACACAGAGACAGGGAGGAGGAGTGGCACTACTAATAAAGCGGAAATGGAAGTTTGATGAGCTGGAAAATCCGGGTACCAATGAAAGCACAAGCTTCATACATGGAACTCTGACAGTGGATGGGAAGAAGATTGTAATCTTGATACTCTACAATCCCCCACCAAACAGTAGAAGGCCCAGGCAGGAGTACGAGGACAGCAACAAGACATGTATGGATGAACTGCAGAGGGCAGCAACTTTAGCGCATAGAATGAGAGCGAAGCTGCTGGTCATGGGGGACCTAAATCACGGAGAGATAGATTGGGAAACGAGGAATCCCCATGGCGGGGAGGAGACCTGGGGAGCGAAGCTGGTAGACGTTATTGACAGGAATTTCCTAACACAGCATGTGAAAGAAGATACTAGGGAAAGAGGAGGGGATACGCCCAGCCTATTAGATCTCATTATCACTCAGAATGTAGAAGACATCGAGCAGTTGGAACATGAAATACCACTAGGAGCTAGTGACCATTGTGTCCTAGCCTTTGACTACATGATGGAGCTTAAAATTGTGACGAAAGGACAAGAGGTCCGGGAAAGGAGACTTGATTACAGAAAAGGGGACTACAGAAGGATAAGGGACTACCTGGGAGAAGTGCAGTGGGAGGAAGAACTTAGAGGAAAAACAGTGCAAGGTATGATGAACCAAGTCATATTGAAATGCAAGGAGGCTGAAGATAGATTTATTCCAACAATAAAGGAAAAAAGCAGGAGGGAATATAATAACCCATGGTTTAATAGACAGTGTCAGGAAGCAAAGGTGAGAAGCAGGAGGGAGTGGAGGAAGTACAGAAGACAAAGGACAGAGGACAACAGGATTAGATGTAACAGAGCTAGGAATGATTACATTAACATAAGACGAGTGTCGGAAAGAAATTATGAGAACGATATTGCAGTCAAAGCGAAAAAGCAACCAAAATTACTACATAGCCATATAAGAAGGAAGATGTCGGTAAATGACCAAGTGACAAGACTGAGGAAAACAGAAGGGGCATATACAGAAAGCGACAAGGAAATCTGCAAGGTACTGAATGCAAAATTCCATGGAGTGTTCACTACCGAGCCTGAGCAGCTCCCATTGTTAGAAGAGATTACCCAAGATGAAAGACTATCAGATATAGAGGTGACAGCAGAGGATGTAATGAAACAGTTGACAACACTGGATGCAAATAAAGCTGTTGGACCAGACAAAGTATCACCGTGGATACTTAAAGAGGCAGCGCAGGCTCTCAGCGTGCCTCTGGCAATGATCTTCAATGAGTCACTTATGTCGGGAGAATTGCCCAGTTGCTGGAAGGAGGCAAATGTCGTACCGATTTTCAAAAAGGGGGATAGGGAGGAGGCACTTAACTACAGACCCAAGCATCCCCTCTGCAAAATACTTGAAAGAATAATTAGGCTAAGACTTGTTGAGCACCTGGAGAGCATTGGGTTTGTAAACAAGCACCAACATGGGTTCTGGACAGGGAAATCATGCCTAACAAACCTTTTAGAATTCTATGATAAAGTAACAAGGATAAGGCAGGACAGAGAAGGCTGGGCAGACTGCATATTTCTTGACTGCCAAAAGGCCTTTGATACGGTACCACACATGAGACTGCTATACAAACTTGAGAGGCAGGCAGGAGTAAGCGGAAAGGCCCTAGTATGGGTGAAGAACTACCTAACAGGAAGGAGCCAGAGGGTAATGGTAAGGGGCGAAAAGTCGGACTGGCGAACAGTAACAAGTGGAGTACCTCAAGGATCGGTGCTGGGACCAATCCTCTTTCTAATTTACGTAAATGATATGTTTACAGGAGTGGAGTCATACATGTCAATGTTTGCAGATGACGCAAAATTAATGAGAAGAGTTGTGACAGACGAGGATTGTAGGATCCTCCAAGAGGACTTAAACAGGCTGCAGAGATGGTCAGAGAAATGGCTACTGGAGTTTAACACCAGTAAATGTAAAGTTATGGAAATGGGATCAGGTGACAGGAGACCAAAGGGACAGTACACAATGAAGGGGAACAGCCTACCTGTAACGATTCGAGAAAGAGACCTGGGAGTGGATGTGACACCTAATCTAACTCCTGAGGCACATATAAATAGGATAACGACAGCAGCGTACTCTACACTGGCGAAAATTAGAACTTCATTCAGAAACCTAAATGAGGAAGCTTTTAGGGCGCTTTACACTGCCTACGTGAGACCCGTCTTAGAGTATGCCGCGCCATCATGGAGCCCCCACCTGAAGAAACACATAAAGAAACTGGAGAAGGTTCAGAGGTTTGCGACGAGGCTTGTCCCA